CAGGCTCTAAACTCAAGGGCAGTCTACTTCCTAAGCCAAGAGTGCTGTGCATGTGGGGCACAGGGATAACCAGGCTCTAAACTCAAGGGCAGTCTGCTTCCTAAGCTAAGAGTGCTGTGCATCTGGGGCACAGGGATAACCGGGCTCTAAACTCAAGGGCAGTCTGCTTCCTAAGCCAAGAGTGCTGTGCATCTGGGGCACAAGGATAACCGGGCTCTAAACTAAAGGGCAGTCCACTTCCTAAGCTAAGAGTGCTGTGTCACGGGAGAAATTCAGAAACGATCTCAGTGACTACTTGTCTCAGATGCAATGAAGGTAATTCACATATGAGTAGGGAGATGACTTTTAGATGCCTTCACTTTAAATGCTCTGGATGATCCTGGATAACTGGCTGAAAGTCACACTCATATTTAAAAAAAGGAAGCCTTGAGGGGATTGCCAAGAGTAAATTCTAGTTCCTCCTGTTTCTGCAGTCACTGGTATTAGAGCTGCTGTTTGGTACAAGAGGCTTGTCACCACTTATCCTCGGGGCTGGCTTCTCCTCGCCCTTCCCAGAGTGTAACTCAAATGAAAACAATTCTAAACTGTGAAACATAATGCTAAGACAATGCTAAAATTGAAACAGCTTCTTCCTGGATTCGCTGATGTCTCGATGCTGGGTTAAGTTCACTGAAGCTGGATTGTTTCAGCTTCTCTGGCTTTTCTGCTCCCAAATACAAACTTAGTAAGCCTTGAGCAAGCCAGCACTGACTGAGGCTAGACCTCAGCACTACCTGAACCCAGGACTACCTGAACCCAGCACTACCTGAACCCAGGACTATCTGAACCCAGGACAGAAGCTAGGAACAGTTCCTCTCCCAAAGTCCCCAAATCTAACTGACTCACACTTAATGAAAACATTTGTATAAAAACTGATCTTTTATAACATGATTAACTGTAATACTTACTTTGCTTAACTTCTGAAGAGTATTTTTATTTTCATCTATTGCACGTTTTAATTGGATGCATCTAAATTTAAAAAAGGAAAGAAAAAAAATTGTTTTCATTGTCAGAACCAGAAAGTTATTTTGTAAAATCAAACACAGTCTTTAATCAGGCAAGTCAATTAGCTATTTTATGAATAATTTTTTTTTTTTAAATCACATGCAAATGGTTTTCCACCCATTGGCTGGGGTGATCCTCACAGCAAAGCCCTGAGGCCCACAGAAATGATAATCCTGGGCTTCCGTTTCCTACTCTAAACTAAGGACGAGCACTGGACTTTAAAATGCTTCTCTGGCTCTAAAATTCCACACACCTAGGACCCGGCCAAGTAGATACAATTAACAATGATAATAACAGATAAAATTTATTGTGTGCCAAGCATAATGCTAAGTATTATCTCATTTCAGCCTCATAATAACCCTCATCCCAGGTGAAGAAATTGAGCTTCTAGAAAGTTAAGTGACTTGCCCAAGGTCACGTAGCTAGTTGACGGCAGGGTCACAACATGAAGGCAGAGTCAAGGGTTCTACAGTTGCCTCTTTCCACCACAGCACTTCTGAACCTGGCCTGTCCTTACAGGTACAGCACCTCTGGTTATTCCACAGTTAGAGAGCTCATGTAATTTAGTTTAAGTCTTAGACACCCAGATGAGAAGCAAGAAAATAACGACCAAAAATGGGCTACAGCTAATATAGAGTTTTAAAAACCAACTGCTCTTTTCTCAAACAATAACCTACAAAAGTTGGTATTTTTGATGCAGTTTGAGTAACCTGTGTTTTGGTTTTTTTCCTCCAACATGTAAGTGAAATGAAATAAGCAGTAAAAAAGGGACAAAAATCCTTTGTGAAAAGGACAGAAAGAAAAGGGAAGACTTCAAACTGTGGTTGACTCTGCTGGTTACCCACCCAAAGTCCTTCTTCTACTTTCCCACAGGCTGGCAGATGCCACCTGCCACTGCCAGCTACCTTCTCAGCCTCCACTGCAGACAGGGTGGGCACGAGGCCCAGGGACGGCTGACTACACGTAAGAGAACTATGTTGGTGATTTCCCCCCATTTTACCCTCCCTGATGGAAAGAGGCATGAAAAGAAATCTCTTCTCCTTTCTGCCTGTAGTACTTGTTACGGATTGAATTGTGTTCCCCAAAAAGATATGTTGAAGTTCTAGCCCCGGCACCTGTGACTGTGACCTTGTTTGGGAAAATAGGTTTTCCTCTGCAGATGTTATCAGGTAAGTTAATAAAGTCATACTGCAGTAGGGTGGGTCCTAATCCTAATCTCTTCTGAGTGGCATCTTATAAAAGAGAAAGGACAGACATACAGCAGAAACAGGCCACGTGAAGACACAGCTACGAGCAGCAGCAGAACACCAAGGACTGCCGGCAGACACGAGAAGCTAGGAATAGTTCCTCTCCCAAAGTCCCCAGAAGGAATCAACATGGCTGACACCCTGATGTGGACCTTCTCCAGAACTGTGAGAAAATACATTTCTGTTCTTTAAAGCCAGCCACTTTGTGATGCCGTGAGGAGAGACATTGCCAATAAGCTGAGGACAGCGGAGCAGAACAGTAGCATGGTCTGGGTCCTCAAGAACATAAGCCACTGATCCCACCCTGGGAGAACCTGCCTCCAGACTTTGTTACTTGAGACTGATAGTAAAGCCGCGTGTTCTGACAGGTGTCTTCCCATCTCTTCCTAGACACTTCAACATCTTATAGCAAAGTAACACTGGGAAGATTAACCAACCACTACAAACCTTAATTTTCTCATCTGTATTAATAAGTAACTCATGGTGTTACTGTGAAAATTAATTACCATGTTTTTAGAGCACAGAGCACACTGCTTGGCACATACAGAGTACAAAATAAAGGAAAGTGGTCTTCTCTATTTTTAACATTTATAATTCTTTATTTAATTTCATCATTCCAATACTCAGACCTGGTAGGTAGGCATAACTGTAAGAAATATTTTAAGGTAAATCTTGGAAATTTTCATTCACTGTTACCTCAGTATTATTTCCCACTATTATTTTGTCTTTGTAGAAGTTATGTTAACACACACACAAAAAAGGAAGAACTAATGTCTCAAACAATTTCCATGTCTTAAACACTACTCACTGAAGTGTAAGTGCAGTTCCTAAAAAGTTTAAATAATTTAGCCTGCCTTACCTTTGGTAAATGTCACACCTTTTACTGGCTTCTAGAGCGCCCTTCAGTTGGCTCTCTGAAAGCAAACTATCAACCTACAATGAACGGAGACAGTTTAAAATATTGTTAAATATCATACCACCTTAGAAAATAAAAGTTTAATTTTCTTTTTTCCCCCAACATTTTATAATGAACACTTCTGATTTCTCTTTGGGTGTTCACTTTGAATTTTACCACAAACACCCATATACCTACCACCTAGTTTCTATCAATAACGTTCTACCATACTTATTTGACAACACTGTCAGTGACAGAATAATATCAATACAACAGAAGGAAGACCAGTTAATAGGACTATTTTCAAATTTACTCACCAACCACTAATGCCAAGGATGAGGAAATTGAAGATTTTTACCAACTTCTGCAGTCTGAAATTGATCAAACATGCAAACAAGATGCATTGGTAATTACTGGTGATTGGAATGAAAACGTTAGAAATAAAGAGAAGAAGGACTGGGAGTTGGAAAATACGGCCTTAGTGACAGAAATGATGCCAGAGATCAAATGATAGAATTCTGCAAGACCAAAGACTTTTCATTGCAACTACCTTTTTTCAACATAAACGGCGACTATACAGGGGGACCTCACCAGATGGAATACACAGGAATCAGACTGACTACATCTGCGGAAAGGGACGATGGAGAAGGTCAATATCATCAGTCAGAACAAGGCCAGGGGCCAACTGTGGAACAGATCATCATCTGCTCATATGCAAGTTCAAGATGAAGCTGAAGAAAATTAGAGCAAGTTCACGAGAGCCAAAATATGACCTTGAGTATATCCCACCTGAATTTAGAGACCATCTCAAGAACAGATTTAACACACTGAACACTAATAACTGAAGACCAGATGAGTTGTGGAATGACATCAAGGACATCATACATGAAGAAAGAAAGAAGTCATTAAAAAAAAGACAGGAAAGAAAGAAAAGACCAAAATGGATGTCACAAGAGACTCTGAAACTTGCTCTTGGATATAGAGCAGCTAAAGTGAATGGAAGAAATGATAATGTAAAAGTGCTGAACAAAAGATTTCAGACAGCGGCTCAAGAAGACAGAGTATTATAATGACATGTGTAAAGACCTAGAGTTAGAAAACTGAAAGGGAAGAACACACTCGGCATTTCTCAAGCTGAAAGAACTGAAGCCTCCAGTTGCAATATTGAAGGATTCTATGGGGAAAATATTGAACGACCCAGGAAGCATCAAAAGAAGATGGAAGGAATACACAGAGTCACTGTACCAAAAAGAATCTGTCAGTATTCAACCATTTCAGGAGGTAGCACATGATCAAGAACCAATGGTACTGAAGGAAGAGGTCTAAGCTGCACTGAAGGCAGAGGTGAAAAACAAGGCTCCAGGAACTGACAGAATACCAACTGAGATGTTTCAACAAACAGATGCAGCACTGGAGGTGCTCACTCATCTATGTCAAGAAATTTGGAAGACAGCTTCTTGGCCAACCAACTGGAAGAGACTATATTTGTGCCTGTTCCAAAGAAAGGAGATCCAAAAGAAGGCTGAAATTATCGAACAGTATCATTAATATCACACACAAGTAAAATTTTGCTGAAGATCATTCAAAAGTGGTTGCAGCAGTTAATCAACAGGGGAATTGCCAGAAGTTCAAGCCAGATTCAGAAGAGGACACAGAACGAGGGTATATCATTGCTGATGTCAGATGGATCTCGGCTGAATACCAGAAAGATATTTACCTATATTTTATTGGCTATGCAAAGGCGTCTGACTCTGTGGATCATAACAAATTACAGACAACATTTCGAAGAATGGGAATTCCAGAACACTTAATTTTCATGAGGAACCTGTACATAGACCAAGAGGCAGTCATTCAAACAGAACAAGGGGATACTGCGTGATTTGAAGTCAGGAAAGGTATGCGTCAATATTGTATCCTTTCACCATACTTATTCAATCTGTATGCTGAACAAATAATCTGAGAAGCTGGACTATATGAAGAAGAACACAGCATAAGGATTGGAGGAAGACTCATTGACAACCTGTGATATGCAGATGACACAATCTTGCTGGCTGAAAGTAAAGAGGACTTGAAGCACTTACTGATTAAGATCAAACTACAGCCTTCAGTATAGACTGCACCTCAACGTAAAGAAAACAAAAATCCTCCCAACTGGACCAATAAGCTACATCATGATAAACACAGAAAATATTGAAGTTGCCAAGGATTTCATTTCACTTGGATCCACAATCAACACCCATGGAAGCAGCAGTCAAGAAATCAATCGACATATTGCACCGGGCAAACCTGCTGTGAAAGACCGCTTTAGAGTGTTAAAAAGCAAAGACGTCACCTTGAAGACTAAGGCGTGCCTGACCCAAGCCATGGTATTTTCAATCACCTCATATGCAAGCAAAAGCTGGGCAATGAATAAGAAAGACCGAAGAATTTATGCCTTTGAATTATGGTGTTGACAAAGAATACTGAATAGACCATGGACTGCCAGAAGAACGAACAAATGTGTCTTGGAAGAAGTACAGCCAGAATGCTCCTGAGAAGCAAGGATGGCGAGACTACGTCTCACACATTTTGGACATGTTATCAGGAGAGATCGGTTCCTGGAGAAGGACATCATGCTTGGTGAAGTAGAGGGTCAGCGAAAAGGAGAAAGACCCTCAATGAGATGGACTGACACAGTGGCTGCAACAATGGGCTCAAGCAGAACAATGATCATGAGGATGGTGCAGGACCACGCAGCGTTTCATTCTGTTGTACATAGGGTTGCTATGAGTTGGAACCAACTTGATGGCACCTAACAACAATAATTGTCTTTGAAACACCATGGGGCAGTTCTACTCTGTCCTATAGAGTTGCTGTGGGTTGGAATCAACTTGATGGCAATGGGTTAATATACATTTGGCATTCAAAAATTTGAAAGTATCGAAAGTACAGAGAAATATAATAACAATCAGCATTCTACCACATTGTCGTTAGGTGTTGTCGAGTGGATTCCGACTCATAGCGACCCTATGTACAACAGAATGAAACACTGCCCAGTCCTGCACCATCCTCACAATCGTTGTTATGCTTGAGCCCATTGTTGAATTCTGCAAGACCAAAGTGTCAATCCATCTAGTTGAGGGTCTTCCTCTTTTTTGCTAGCCCTCTACTTTACCAAGCATGATGTCCTTCTCCAGGGACTGATCCCTCCTGATAACATGCCCAAAGTATGTGAGACATAGTCTCGCCATCCTTGCTTCTAAGGAGTATTCTGGTTGTACTATCTTCTATCACTTTGGTATATTTCTTTCCATCTTTTTTCTATCTATATTATATATTGAAAGAATTTTATTGAAATACCGTATGTGCAATTTTATAATGTTTTTCTAACCTGACATTTTATCACAAATATTTCCCAACACATTAAAGTCTTTTTATTAACAAAATTTTGATCACAGTATTACATCTCACCATAAGTTACTTATCCATTCCTCTATTATTGATCATTTAAGTTGTACTGTTTATTCTAACATAATTAATACCGTAATAAACACTTTTAAACCTCAATCTGTCCCAACGTTTTAATTATTACATATGGCAGATTCCTGGAAACGGAATTACCAAGCCAAGGAGCATGAATATCTGCTACATCTTGTCAAACTGCCTCCAGAAACGCTGGACCTTAGACACGGGAGAAGTAGATGTAAGCGTCCGATTCATCACTCCCTCCCCAGCGCTGAGAGTTGCGATTTAAAATCTCTGTTCTATTTTATTTCCTATCTTCGAAGGTAACTTTTCTCATGTATCAGTACTTGTGTTTGCTCTTTGGCTGGCGTCCTTTGCTCAGTTTCCGACCTCCATGGTCTTCCCACACGTTAAGACTTCCTGACGCCTGTCTCGCTTGAACTAAGGCAGAGAAGTAACAGGAAGCCTTCTCTGGAAGAGGCTCACAGGGAGCGCATGGCGCCGAGAGAGGTGTCGGGCGCAGGGTTGGGTTGGAAATGGCTCCTGTTAGGAGGGTAGATTTGGAGGCGAGGTGGGTCCAGGGGGTGAGGGCTGGTGGTGTTAGCTGATGCTCACGATTTTCGGGAGGTGCAGTCTGTGGTTGGGAGGTGGGTTGGGAACATCGGGGTTAGAATCGGGGTTTGGTGCTGGGATATCGGGGGGTTGTTACACCTCGGGAAGTGGGCTTTGAGGATCAGGGCGGGGTCGCGGTGAGCAGCGCGCCGTCCGTGCAGATGAACCCCCACCTCATCTTGCTCGGGGCCCCTCGCTGAAGACCCCGACTCTACCTGCCGCTTCAGCTCCTGATTGCGACGCCGCAGGGCCTGGAGGGGATCGCGCGGCCGCCTCGCCAGCATCGCCGTCTCCGCGGGGCCCAGCTGGTGCCGCCGGGCTGCCGGTCGCCAGGGAAACCAAGGCGGCGGCGCCCTCAGGTGACGCCATCGCCGCGCGCCGCCTCCCAGAGCAGCCCCGCCCCGCAGGCCTGATCGCTCTAGGTGACCCCCGCCCGACCCGCACGCGCTGAGCGCTGGGCTCAAGGTCACCGCCCAGGACGCGGGTGGGGCAAGGGAGCGAACGTTCCTTGGCGTCTGAAGTTTCATATCCCGCGAGAACATTACCACGACATTCTTACTAGGATGCTGTTTAACGGTATTTAGCATTTTCTGATACCAGATTTGCTAATCTTAAAATACCGTTTGAGCATCTTAAACTCCCATTAACTGTAAGGATAGCTTCCTATATGGCCTTCCCGGGTTACAGGTTCTGGTGCTTACCCTGACTCCACAAGACAGTTTTAAATTCTTTGCCATTTGAGGTCCTGCCTAAGTCTCATTTCATTCTGGTTTTGCAGTTGCCCATCCTGAGTTCTGTGAGGATAAGCCCTATCTTCCACAGCAAGTCTGTGGGAAATCTATATTTTACATTGCCTCTTAACCAGTTGCCCTCGAGTTCATTCTGACTCCTTGCCACTCCACGTGCCAGAGGAGAACTGTTCTCGACAGGGTTTTCAATGGCTGATTTTTTCAGTAGATGGCCAGTCTCTCTTCCAAGACACCTGTGTGTGGACTGGAACCTCCCAACTTTCCTGTTAGCAGCTGAACGTGTTAACCGTTTGCACCACCCAGGACACTGACTCTTAGGGAGGTTATTGGAACTGCATCCTATAAATCAGATTCCAAAACTCTACTACACTAAGATTGGATTTGAATAAGGATGATCTAAGCTCACCTTGAAATGATGAACCACATTAATACAAACGGATATTCTTTAGTACATCTGCTGATTCTACAAGCTAGGCTGCCTTGTTCCGCCTACCCCTTTGGTACTTTTTCTTGATGTATAACCTACATAGAGAAAAGTGCCCAAATCATAAGTGTCCAGCTTACTGAATTTCCATACACTGAACTCACCCCCATGCAACATCACTCACATTAAGAAACATTACCAGCACCCCAGTAGTCTTCCCCTCCTTCCAGCCCCTAACCACCTCATCACCACCACAGGTAAACTCTATCCTGTAACTTCGAACAGCAAAATTCTGTATAATGGAATCACGCATTGTGTACTCGCGTCTCACTTCTTTCATTCAACATCCTGTTCATCGGATACATCTGTATTGTATATGTATTGCTCTGGTATCTCACTGTATGATATACCTTAATATATTCATTCATTCTAACTCTGTCGCCCATGTGGGTAGTTTCCAGCTTAGGGCTGCTATAAATAGTGCTAAGAACATTCTGGTACATCTTTTGGTGAACATATACACACAATACTGGATCACAGGACATGTTTATGTTCAGCTTTATAAGATACTGCCTAGTTTCTCAAACTAGTTATACTAATTTACACTCTACCAGCAGCACATGAGTTTTTGTTCTTCATATTCTTGCCAACCCTTGGTATTGTCCATTTTGTCATAGTTCATGTCTTTATTTCAAATTAATTTTCCCATTATGGCTCGCGTTACTTAAAAGTTCACTTAGTCATAGTATTTCATTAAAAATGCCTGTAACGAGAAAATAATGAGTGCTATAAAATATTTCTAATAGATTAATAAAGCAAGACCAGAGAGGAGTCAGCCTTAGAGAGGACCTGTGCATCTTCTCGTGATAAAGATAATGAAACCGAGGCTCAAAACCACAGCTGAGCATCACGGTCACCAGGGAAGCTTTAAAAATCCTAATGCCCAGGCCATACCCTAAGACAAGAATCAAAATCTCTTAGGAGTGGGATGCAGGGATTAGCATTTTTCAAGCTCTCCAGATGAGTACACAGTGCAGCCCCCCTGCAAACCACTACCCTAGACAGAACTATTGTTAAGGAAGAGAGATGAAGGAATTCCCTCCTGATGGCCTTTATCTTCTCATATGGCTGAAACCCGTCTACCAGGAAAGAGAGATTTACACCGCAAGTTCAAGGGATGCGGTTTCTCACTGCTGAGAAACCGGAAGTGTGTGGTTACAATTAAAACCCCTTTTAGTAGGAAGGGAGGAAGCTGAAGGGTCTATCTCTGCCAAGTTCCGGGGCCCAAGAGGAAGGCAAAAGCAGCGGTGAAGGGTAAACATACAATGAGGTTGGTGTCTAAGTTGACCAGGGAGCCCAGGATGACCAATGAGGTGAACTGGAGGGTGGACTCACCAGTGGCCTCCAAAGCGGGCAGTTCTGTAAGTGCAGAGTGAGATGTGGAGGATGGGAGCTGCCCTCAGAGCAGGTTTTACCCACTGAGACTAAAAAGGCCAAGTGCAACCTGACAGTGAGGTCCAAGCCTGACGGTAAGGTGTAGGCTATGGCTGCAGTGATGTGGAATGGGGCAGAAAGGGAGGCAGGGTAGGAAAGTAGAAGTGGGCCAGGTAGCTGCTGTGATCAAACAGGAGTGACAAGTGGAGGATGTGTATTTCAATGAGTCAACAGTGTGTCATTTCCAGGGTATATGACTGGCATCGTGACCCCTGGCTCCCAACCTCCTGGTTGCCAATTTTTGCTAACATGGAAAATGTAAACATCTCCACGCAAGACAAAATTTTCAGGGAAAAAAAACAAACACGTTTAAGTAGGGCCAGTGAAGAAAGAGTGAGGGGTAATGGAATTGCCCAGTTCAGGTGGAATTACCCACCACAGACGGGGGCACACAGGCACAACAGAGAGGCAGTAGACAGAGGGAGAGTGTGAGTGGGACCGGGTGGCTGACAGCCACATAAGGACCAAGACAAGACTTGGGGGTGAACAGCACATGCCCAGAGGCGTAGGGATGACAGAAAACATGGAGGTGAGACAGGAACAGGGGATGTGTGTCAGGGGTGCTGCAGAGAAGTAACAGGAAAGCAGCAGTCTACACTGGAAAGACCAGGTCCCCCAGGAAGCTGCAGTGCACACCTACAGGCCCAAACGGGCAGAGCTAGTCCGAGGCTTAACCCACACATTTCAACAGTCTGCAGGCAGCATGTGCCTCAAGAAAGCTGCCTTGTCTCAAAGCACCTCAACTCTCTGAGCCTCAGTGGGGGATGGTGATCAGGAAGCTTCAGCAAACTACGGCCCAGATGGGACGGAGCTCTGAGAGCCAGTATTTCATTGAGTACTGCATTCACACAACCGAGGTGGAAATAATAAGGCAGAATGGGCACAGAAAAATGGAAAAGCTTTCTGTGGAAACAACTTTTCTGAATGTTCTTATGCTAACATGGAGCTGTTAAATTTACTGGGACATGAGATTTCACAGCAGCTCCATACCAGCGGCTCCTTGGAAACCCTACAGGCAGTTCTCCTCTGTCCTATCAGGTCACTCTGGGTCGGAATTGACTCCAGGGCAACGGGTTTCCTTTCCTTCGGTTTCCACGTCAGTTGCAGCGCTCTAGAAAGCACCCCTGTGAATAAAAATTAACGAGGGGCTTGGTCGCTCACTCTTGGTTCTTAGATGTGGTTGGGATTTATCACTGAGTTCTATTCAAGAGGGTTTTTCCTTCACACACGTTTATTCCATAAATGAGACTTTTGCCAATAAAAACATATACTCTGTACTTCGAGTATATTGTCCTTCTCAGAAGTGTAAAGCTCTTCTATACATCATCCGAACCTCAGTTATTTTCAGACAGTCCCATGCATTCCCAAACAGGCCCAGAACAGCCCCTGACCAAAAGGACCAACAATGGTCCCTAGGCCAACTCTTGCTTTGTGGTTGTGCCAAGCAACTAGCAAGGTTTCCTAAGAGAAGGTATGTGCTCAAAAACACTAACATGCCAGTTCTGAGAAACCAGTTCTCCTGATCCAGCAAACTACATGGCAGACAAAAAAGCTCCATGCTCCTTTCCCTTTTGAAAAAAGGTTCGAAGACGTTTACATTTTTTTATTTTAAAAATAAAATAGCTTCATAAAGTATTTCTTTCCAGGGTTCTATATCCATCTTTGATATCCTGTTGGGAACAAACAAAAAATAAATTAGAAATATATCATCAGTAACTTCAGATTCTTGTATTCTGAAATTAAAACATGAACTACGAGATCTGATGTTACAAATAAGAAAACGGAGGCCCCGAAAATTTGTGACGCACAGCGGCTGAAAGAGCTAAGACAGATGCAAGGTTCCTGACTTCCAGGCCACTGCTCTTTCCATTTTACCAGGCTGTCAGCAACTTAAGAATTCAGATCGAAGATTACAAAGTATGAATCCAAATTCGCACCGCAGTGCTACCAAGGATGTTATTAAAAAGAATGATAAGGGGAAAACAGATGGTAGGTACATCCTGCCCCCAACCCCACGGTCCGTCTTTTTCTTTCGTTCTTTCTCGTATTTTCCATTCTGAAGTTTAATGTTGCCAAGCGGCAACCACACTTTGCACGTGGTATTACACTCCCATTAAATACGTGCAGTGAACTGAACGACACCACCAAACAGCTGGTTATTAAGGAAAACAAAATGTCCTCCTCTTTCTGGTGTCATCTTCTGCGCGCTGTCCTAAAGCTCTCCTGCCCCAGACATCGCCTGACCTCGAGTACCGTTCACTGCCACTCGGAGAGAGCCCGGCAGGGCCGGCGGGGAGCGCGGCGAGCCGGGTCGAGGGCGGCGGCGGGCCGGGGTCAGGGCGGCGCCACGCCGTAGCCCCCGCGTGGGTGAGGTCAGGGGGCCGGGGTGGACCAGGGCGGCGGGTCTCAGGCCAGGTCCAGCTTCTTCTGCGTCACCGCCAGCTTGTCCTGCAGCCTCTTCTTCCTCCAATCCAGGTAGCGCCTCCGCAGCCTGTTCGCCTGCCAGCCCAAGAGTATTCCGGAGGCAAAGGCCACCAGCACGGACACCTGCAGCGTCCGCTCTGACACGTCCGCCATCGCAGCGTCCCGGCGTGCAGTTCGGCCTACGGCGCGGCGG